GGCTTTTAGGTTGTTGCCATATTAACTCAGCCATCAAAAAAAAAAAAAAAAAAGAACAGGTTTCATGCCAGTATGGATTAAAAGCTTTTGTTCTGTCTCTCCATTGTGACTTTGAGAGACAGGGGTGACTTGAGCTCTTTCCAGGAGACTGGGCAAGAGGAGGTGAGAATCTTAGCATAAATGTTAAGCATAGTCCATCTGCAGGGACAAGGGGAACTCTGTTATGGAAGCCCCACCTGAAGCCCTTGTTTTAGTGAGGCTAAGCCAGTACCATAAATGAGAATGAGAGACTATTCCATTCTCACTGGTGTCCTATATGCCATCTGAATTAATGACACACACTCTCCTCACATACCCTCCCAAGGAAAGGCCAATAAGGAAAGTGACAAAGAGCTCATGGCTTTAATTCTAGCTATAAGCTCTGCCGTTTCCTTGCCCCCTTCCCCAGTGATTGTCTTTATACTCCTGAGTGGGTCCAAGAGTAGCTACTGCCTCTAAGGTATTCTAACAGTGGTGCCCTAAAGCCAACATCTTTGCAGGCCTCATGCAGAACAAGAGGTAGTCTGAGTATCAATTACATATGCCTTCCTCATGGAGGCTCACACCAAATTTTAAACATTTATAAATATATTGAATTTTAAAAAATCAGGTTGTTATATAAAAATAAATTTCAAATAACAATAAAAGTAAAACATCAGTATTAAAGAGCATACCGCAGTACCCTGGGGTTCCACATACTGTCTTCATGAGCACTTGATGTTCCACAATTTTAGAGAGTCCAAAATCAGCTAACAACACAAGAAAAACATTTAATGAAGCGAGTCTTTTCTCAGCTTTTATAAGATGACAAAATACTTCTGTTATTCAAAAATTAACTCATTTGTTTGCTTTAAATTTGATGGTGGAGTGGATGTTGGTATAAGAGGAAGCTAAAAAAAAATTCAAGCCTTTCTTTAAATCGAAGAAAAATATAGCTCCCAAATGTGCTTATAAACAAATCTATAATCTTTGCTCTTCTTTACAATTCCCAGCTTTTAACAAATAAGATACATTTTTCTTAAGGTAACAGTTGTAATAGTTATATTTTGTCTAGTGTTATTAATTCTGAGACTTATACAACAGTAACTCTACAGGACAATATAGAAGCAGTAATATAATTCAGAATCTTTTATCCATTGGGAGAGATTAAAAAATTAGACTTTTCATAAAAATCATGGAAATAGGCAGATATATCAAAAGTTTTATTTTGCTTGAAAATAAATAATGTCATTTCTTAGTGTATTTGGCCAATAAGAATTTACTCTTACATGAAGAAAATAAAAATTGTTTTGTAGTAATCCTTTTTATTTATTCCTTAGAATATTACCTAAGTACAATATTATCAAAAGTTGCTGCCATTATGATCTACTTGCTGGGCTACATCTCTCTTGCTCAGGAAGCATCAGGAAACTGTCCAAGGCCATTCTTCAAGAGAGGCAGGTGCAGAATAGATGCCATTTTAGGCTTCAAAGTTAAACCCACTTTTCCGCAGAGGTGCTTGATCCTTATCAGTGAAAGCAGCAGGAAGCCCTTCAGAAAGAAAGGCTCTCCTACCTAAATTAGTATCTATCCATCCATTTAAAGAAATGTCTTTAAGAATCAAATCTTTGAAAGTCACGTCAAAGGAAATGGAAACTCCCTGCTGTCCACTGCCTTTCACGAGTGATTATGAGAACAAGCTGGCTGCCCAGCAGGACTTTCAGGATTTTTTCTTTAGGTTCTTGCATTCATAAAGCACATTATGTTGTCTGAGCTCTTCCATGATATGAACAACTTAATTTTCAAAGGTGTTAACAATTGTAAATGCAGTGAACTCATCAGATTAGCACTACAAAGGACAGCACCAGAAGAGCAATGACCTTCAGAGGATTTAATACAGATTCACTAAAAAGAATTTTTAATTTTTCTTGTAAATGAAAATTTGCTTTGTAAGGGACATGGAAAGTAACATTTAATATATATTTAATCTATATGTTTTTATTTAAAGGTTTCTTTTGATAGATCAGAATTTTCCAAATTTTGTGTGTGTGTGTGTGTGTGTGTGTGTGTGTGTGTGGCTGGTCAGTTCAGGGATTGAACCC